CTCCATTTACAATGTTTCCTCTTCCTGGAAGGTAGTTGTGTCGCTAACTTTCCATCATCCTAGAGGACCTAAGTGAAGTTTCATCACATCCAAAAGCTTTCCCTGAACATCGTCTTCCATTTTTACCCAGATGAGTTGGGTGCCCCTCCTCTCTATTAAAATACCACCTGGCACAAACCTTTTACAAAAAGTATTGAATTGCTCTGCAGTCACTGACTTACTTGATAGCAGGATATATGAGCCTAAATTGAGATGCATCTGTACATGAGAAGGCATTTATTTGCACAAGGTAATGTGCACAGAGGGAAAGGGACTGTGAGGGGGAGGTTTTGAGCATCTAAGCCTGGTGGCCAACAGGGAAGTAAGGTGGGGAAACCAAGAGAGCAACTTAATGACTGGCCTTCAGTCCGGATTCTGGTTCCTAAGCCTGGCCGCATGGACTAAATCCAAGTTATGGATAAAGAAGGGCTACAGACAAAAGCTTTGGGAACTGAAATATTTGGAAAAAATGGGGTACATGCAAAGCTATTTAGAGGCCAAACAACAAACTATAACACATGGTCGGGAAAGTGAGCCCTCTTCCCACTTACGCACTCATTACCCAGCCTTGCTCAGATTTGAAAAGGCCACTGGTACCTCTGAGACAGTGCAATGAATTCTGGAGTGGGCAAGAAAGCCCATGCCCAGCAGATGCTGCTCTGTTATGTCTAGAGGGAAAGGATTTAGAAATGGACACTTGGGAAAATGATGAGTCAGTAATAAAATTATTTTGTTTCTGTCTGTTTAAATCTTAGGGACTCCCAGAACTAGTTTAAGAGTGGCTTTTGCAAGGGGCTGGAGGGTCTTATACTACAAGGGGGAAATGACCAGCAGCTAAATTATCACTGTATAATTTATCACTGTTAATGTGACTCTACTTACAGCCATGGTCTGGAGGACTGGTGAAATCTAGTTATGGTTATATTATATTCTCAACCTACTCCGACCTCTGTTCATTGGCCTTGAGATCCTTGAAGGCAGAAACTGCTGGTTTTTAAAAAAATCTCTGTAGCCCCATTACCTATCTATTTCCCATCACGGAGTAGGTATTCAACATACAGCTATTGAATGAAGGAATAAAATTAATGAAAGAGCAACTATCTCGAATGGACAAATTCAGGAAAAAGAGGTGGAAGTTATAGGAACGTAAAATGCTCTTCTAACAATTAGAAAACCCTATCAGTAGAAAAATCCCATGGTGACACAGTGAGAATTTTTTTTTTTTTATAATTTTAAGTTTTGGGAATTTTATTTTTTTCTTCCTTTTTTTAAATTTTATTATGTTATGTTAATCACCATACATTACAGCATTAGTTTTTGATGTAGTGTTCCATGATTCATTGTTTGCATATAACACCCAGTGCTCCATTCAATACGTGCCCTCTTTAATATCCGTCACCAGGTTAACCCATCCACCCCTCCCCTCTAGAACCCTCAGTTTGTTTCTCAGAGTCCATAGTCTCTCATGATTTGTCTCCCCCTAGGTTTTCCCCCCTTCCTTTTTCCCTTCCTACTATCTTCTTCTTTTTTTTAACATATAATGTATTATTTGTTTCAGAGGCACAGGTCTGTGATTCAACAGTCTTACACAATTCACAGCACTCACCATAGCACATACCCTCCCCAATGTCTATCACCCAGCCACCCCATCCCTCCCACCCCCCACCACTCCAGCCACCCTCAGTTTGTTTCCTGAGATAAAGAATTCCTCATATCAGTGAGATCATATGATACATGTCTATCTCTGATCGACTTATTTTGCTCAGCATAACACCCTCCAGTTCCTTCCACATTGTTGCAAATGGCAAGATTTCATTCCTTTTGATGGCTGCATAATATTCCATTGGGTATATATACCACATCTTCTTTATCCATTCATCTGTCAATGGACATCTTGGCTCTTTCCACAGTTTGGCTATTGTGGACATTGCTGCTATAAACATTGGAGTGCACATACCCCTTCGGATCACTACATTTGTATCTTTGGGGTAAATACCCAGTAGTGCATTTTATCACTGGAGGAGTTGTCAAGAATGCCCCAGAGGAGGTACATACCTCAGGGAGAGAAATGCATCAAATCATTTCTAACTCTCAAACTGCTTGGTATTAATTACACGAAGACCAAGAAGAGCGTGGCCATGACAAAGGAGTTAGCCCCACAGGGCAATATGCAAAAATGATGGGTCAGCAACAAAACCAGTTTTTTAAAAAAAAATCTTCAAGGACTGTCTATAAAAACCAGCACCTTAAGCCAGATTTCATCAGAATTAAAACCGTACCCTGAAAGATTATTGCATGAAGGCATAGACATTTTATCTTCAAAAGCTATCCTATTATAACTTTGAACAATGTCCAGAGGACTAAGGTATCTAATGGACATTATCTACAGTGAAGGTGTTAAGTGATGAAAGGTTAAAGGAGGGGCGCCTGGGTGGCTCAGTTGGTTAAGCGACTGCCTTCGGCTCAGGTCATGATCCTGGAGTCCCTGGATCGAGTCCCGTATCGGGCTCCCTGCTCAGCAGGGAGTCTGCTTCGCCCTCTGACCCTCCCCCCTCTCATGTGCTCTCTCTCTCTCATTCTCTCTCTCTCAAATAAATAAATAAAATCTTTAAAAAAAAAAAGAAAGGTTAAAGGAAAGATATACAACGTGTTGAGAGCAGGCTGTGATTTGTAGACTCATAGCCTGTTTCAGTGACTCTTCCACAGCCTCTGGCGAAGTAAATGCTAGAGCCACTCATCTTTATTCCTTTAACTTCCAATAAATGACTGAAGGATCCCCCCGTCTACAAGAGGGAAATTACTAGACAATGCAGGAAAGGTCTTCTGAGATAAATGAATATTCTACATCAATTTAAAGGCCACAAATAGAATGATGGAGAGTACTATTTTATAATGTCAAAGTTCAAAGGTACTTTTCAAATGTCTCTTTAAAGAAAATCTGACCTTTCTTTCTTTCCTTCTTTCTCTCTTCATTATCAGAAAGTTTGCCAAGGACACTCTGGGCCTTGGGTCATTCTGTTTTGACATGGAAGTTCTTTCATCATTAAAAATAATTGAAAGACCAGAAATATTTAACTCTGCAGTGACCAAGAGGACACATTCAGTAGCATAAAAAAGAACAATATTGAAGCACTTGGATTTCGAAGGTTGCATTTTAATAACTCCATAAACCCTGCCCCCCTCATGTATGAGGGAGAGCTTACATGAGGCCATGACTAGCTCAAGGAGTAAGTATGAATACACATTTTTTCTAATATATTTCATGTTATTTTACATGAAAACTTTATGAAAACTGCTCAATACACCACTAGTAACTCTCTATGTCTAAATATCTTTTTTAGGTATAGATTGGCTGACATTAGATATAGATGTGGACAAAAATATATTTGCAGAAAAACAAAAACCTTTTATGAAAGGCCTCTTTTTCCCCATCTTAAGGTATAATTTATAGACAGTAAAATTTAGCCTTTTTAGTGTACAGTTCTGTAAATTTTGATAAATGCAGTCATACAACCACCACCACAGCAAGATACAGAAAAATTCCATCACATCCCCAAATTCCCCTGTGCCCCTTTGTAGTAAGCCCCTCTCTCCATCTCCAGCTCCTGGAAACTACTGATCTGCTTTCTATTTCTATAAATTTGCCTTTTCAAGAATACCCTGTAAATGGAATGATATGGTATGTAGCAAAGGCCTCTTTTAAATTTCATGCACTGGATAAAAATTAAAGTAACTAAATGAAGTGTCAATGTTAATGTACTGATTTCTATTGCCCGAACTTAAGGCAATGATGGATATATAAAATCAAATTACCCTTGAATAGTACATCTTGAAGCAGGTAGTACCCAGGGAGCCTTTTGAATATAGAGATCTTTAGGACTTCAATTTTGACATATTGAATCAAAATCTCTCAGTGAGGTTTCTGGGAATTGTTTTTATCAAGTTCTCCAAGCTTGATTCCGATTGATCAGCCAGATTTGGGAAACATTAACCCAACAGATATTCACTGTATGAGATTAACTACCAAGCTGTAAATCATGTGTGGGAATAGGATCAAAGTTCAGAGGCTGTTGGAGAGTTTCATCAGGTGACCTTGTCCTTGGATGTGGCTACCACTTACTGCCTGCAGGACCTTTAGCAAGTCACTTAAATCGCTGAACCTTGGTTTTCTCCTCTGTCATGCCGGGGTAATGATGCTGACTTCATAGGATTATTTTCGGGATTAAAGGCCTATAAAGCCTTTAGCTAGAACCTGGCACACTTGGCACTCAGTGATTGGAAGCTGCTTATCTTGCTGCCATTAGTATCAATATTAACATCATTATCATCACCACGGCACCAGAAACACTTTACTTGCCTTTCTCTATATTTCTGCATTTTTGTCAGTTTCACTATTTCTTAGTCCTTCCTCTAAAAGGGACCAAAGTAAACAGAATCCACTTTTGTAGCCGCCCAACTGGTATTCAGGGCAGCGCAAAGCTCACAGAAATTCACTGATTGTCCCCAACCCTCACCTTTACCTCAAAGATGTCAATGGGAACAACAAAAAAAAGGAATTACTGGAAACTCTCCCTCTTTCCCAAGGGTATATTATTGGCCAAATATAAGCAAACAGAAGGGAGGAAGAGAAGCAAAGGGAGGGAATAAAGCAGAAAATTAGGCTGTCTGTGTAGTTAGGGAATATCTAAAAATTGACTTCATTCATTTGCAGTTTTATTCTGCAATGTAGATACATGTATTTTTAAGCTACAGTTTCTTGAAAGTTTTTACTATTGAAGTACAGTTGACATAGAAAAGCAGCAGTTTTTATTTAAGCTGTGAAATACAGAAGAATGACGGTATTTGGCTGCACTTGCCGATCTAAAGAAAGAACTCCTATCCTCAAAGAATTACACGATGCTGCCAACACCAAGGACTGAAGACAAGGAGCAAAAAACAAACCTGAAACTCACAAGCCCTACCTGTTCTCAGCATCGGCACTGCACTTTGGGGACATCAATTCAAAGGATTTGGTGAACTTCACCACCTGCCACACACAGAAAGACATAAATTCAAGTCAATTAAAGCTTTTTTGCAGTTTAAAATAATGCAATAAACATCTTTCATCTTTATAATGATAATTACATAATTGGAGATTAAGGAGGAATTTTAAGCGGAGAAGTCTCAAGGGGCCGAAAAAGAAAATTCTATCCTACTTTTTGGATTTTACTTCTAACATGGCATACATTGTCAACGTTTTGATACATTTTCCTAAATATGCATATATTTTTTTCAAGTTTTTATTTAAATCCCAGTTAGTTAATATACAAGGTAGTATTAGTTTCAGGTATAGAATTTAGGGATTCAACACTTCCATACAACACCCGGTGCGCATCATAACAAAGGTCCTCCTTCATCCCCATCACGCATTTAGCACATCCCCCCCCACCTCCCCTCTGGTAACCCTCAGTTTGTTCTCTATAGCTGGGAGTCTGTTTCTTGGCTTTCCTCTCTTTTTTCCCTGCTCATATAAGAAACAAGACAAATGAACATCGGCAGAAAATTAAGTGTGTTATATTTTTACAATGAGGTGTTTACTATCTTGTGGTAGTTCTACCAAGGGACATCTCACTTGGAAACATTTTAAAATTTTTATTGCCCTTTTAACAATCTGATCAATATGCATGGAGAAGAAGGTGGAGACAAAAATCTAGAAAATGATGTCCTCCATCAACCCCAGGCTCCTGAAGTCACCTTCCCTGGTTTATCATTGTTCTCAGGTGAACATTATTTGCCACCAACCCCATCCGCCTCCTCCAAGGGTAAAGAAGAGAAAGCCATCTTCTTCAAGGATCATGCCTGGTGTAGACACTTCTCTCCCCTGTCTCATGAAACCGGCATATTTGGTGCAAGAACCTGATCAAGACTTATTACACTGAAAGAAAATTTTGGACACAAGAAATATAAAGGTAGTTTTCCTTATTATTAGCAACTATTGAGTTCTTACTATAAACCAGGCTCTACGTCAGAAGCTTCTTGGACTACTTAAGTTCCTTAGTACAACTCTATAAAGCAGGGATTTTTATCTTCATTGTATAGATGAGGAAACTAACCCACAATTTTTAAGAAACTTGCTCAGTTTCACAGAACTAAATGGGGGCATGTGGGGTTAAAGCAAGCCTGCATGATTCTAGAGTGCCAGTTCTTTCAACAACACTAAAAATGTGGAGTGGGAAAAGCATCATTTCTCGCCCTTTCTGACAAGCTATACCACATGATAGAAAAATGAGGCCCTTATACTGAAAGGAGTCATCTGAATGTCACTGGATGCTTCCAAGTTTGACATTTAGATTTGCCGTAGCTGGATGCAGTCATGCTTCAAAGGCCTTTTAAATTAACCACTTATGAGGAATGGATGGGCACCTGAGAAAATGATTTAGAAACTGGGAATAGATTAAATATTAAAACAGCTTTATCAGTGAGGTAATGAACCCAAACTAAGAAAATGCAACATTAAGAAAAAGATAAAAGAAAAGAAAAGCCCATCACAAAGAAAATTGTGTGTGACTAGTTGACTGCTGGGCAGTGACAACAGACCAACTGCAAGGAAATGCCCTTGACAACTAGAGCACACATTTCATTTCATATTCCAGTGTGAACTGAGCCTCTACAAAGTCCTTCATTGTGGCCAATTTTATGTTTTAAAGATGGTCACAACACTATCTCCAATCCTACACTCTTCACTACAATACGACCCTGCCACCCTCCTACCAGGTGGTAGGGTCTATGTTCCCTCCCCTTGAATCTAAGTGGGCTACTGACCACTTTGACCAATAAAGTATATAGAACGGATGTGATGTGCCTTCGGAGATCGTCATAAAAGGCGATGTTCCTTCTGTGTTGTCTGATGGAATACTTGTGCCTGGAGCCCTGAGATACCATGTAAGAGGTCTAGCTACCTTAAGGCCATTCTGCTGAAAGGGAGCCCAACCACATAGAGATGCTACGTGTAGCTGTTCTGGTCAGAAGCTCCAGGCTTTAAGTCCTTCCAGTCTAGGAGTCAGACATATGAGTGAACAAATCTTCAGATGATTCCAGTTCCCAACCCTTAAGTCACCTCTGGTCTCTATGTTTTTCCAACTGTATGTGGCCCCAGATATCCTGAGAAGAGGCAGGTCATCCTTGTGGTACCCTCTCCAAATTCCTGATCCATAGGATCTGTGAGCATAACATGATTGATTTAAGCCTCTAAGTTTTGGGTTTATCTGTTACACAGCAAAAATAACCAGAACACTTGTCTTAATTGAGGACTTAAACAGAAATCAATCACTTAGAAATCTTTATTCACTTGCAGTATTCTTGGATCTCACAAGGCTAGTAAGCCACAAAGAAACTATTTGCTATCACCAAATAATAAATCTCTCAAACTATACTCCAAATAATTTTTAAAGTTAAAATAATAATAAGGTAAAAAGTAGTAGCATTTCATTTCTGTTTGCATAATAGAAAATTGTCACAGATTTTAAAAGAGGGAGTTAGTCCTCTATCTCTGCTTTGATCGTCCATGATTTGTGATTTCTTTCCATTATTTTGTTAGATGACAGAAAATTCTTTCCCTATTTTATCATGTTTATGCTGTTGCTATGGACTGTACGTTTGTGTCCCCCAAAATTCATATACTGAAACCCTAATCTTCAACATGATGGTATTTGGAGATGGAGTCTTTGGGAGGTGATGAGGTCATGAGTGTGAAGCCTCATAATGGCTTAGTGCTTTTATAAGAAGAGGCAGAGAGAGCTTGCTTCCTCTCCTTTTCTCTGCTATGTGAGGATACAACGAGAAGATTGGCCATCTACAAACCAGGAAAAGTGCCCTCACCAGACACCGGCTCTGCTAGTGCCTTGATCTTGGACTTCCCAGTCTTTAGCACTGTGAGAAATAACTTGTTTGTTCTTTAAGCCATCCATTCTATAATAATTTGTTATAGCAGCTTGAATTGACTGAGACAACTATATTCTCCCTTTTTGCTGCAAATATGTATGAGGCATTTTACATACATTATGACCAATCCTTTATGTAGATATCAATGCTTACAACATTCTGGCAAGGTAAATAATATCATCCCCACTTTATTGAAAGGAAATTAAGGCGCAGAGGGGTTAAGTGGTTTCCTGGAAACCATACAACCAATACACTGCAGAATTGGGATTTGCACCATGTCAGTCTGATTCTACAGCCCCCAGTTTCCCCACTACTCCTTGCTTTTGTAAACATGAGCAAAATTGTGACACCAAATTATTTGGACATGACTCCTTCAAAGTCAGAATAGTTAGATAAACTCTGTCTTTATTTATCAATTCTATAAATATTTTTCGAGTACCCATTAATGCCTGAATTTGAATAAACACAGACTAAAAGTAGCTTGAAGTAAAATACTTGGCTTAATATAAAACTAATCAAATTACCAATACACTATTAATTGTTTCTGCATTTGGAAATAAAAAAGGAGATACTTTTTTTTTTTTTTAGGTTTTACTTATTTGAGAGAGAGAGAGAGAGAGACAGAGATCATGAGCAGGGGGGAAGGGTAGAGGGAGAAGCAGACTCCCCACTGAGCAGGGAGCCACATGCAGGCTCGATCCCAGGATCCTGGGATCATGACCTGAGCTGAAGGCAGACGCTCAATGGACTAAGCCACCCAGGCACCCCACCTTCTTTTTTTTTTTTAAGAGAGAGAGAAAGTGCAAGTGGGGCAGGGCAGAGGGAAAGGGAGAGAGAGAATATTAAGCAGGGTATGCACCCAGCGCACAAAGCCCGATGTAGGGCTAGACCTCATGACCCTGAGATCACAACATAAACCCAAATCAAGAGTCAGATGCCTAACCCACTGAGCCACCCAGGCACCCCTCAAAAAGGAGACACCTTTAAATTCCCTGACCGGACAGATGAGATTAAACTCCTCAGTATTACTAAGGAATACTTCATTTGGCTTCCTTTTTACTATTAATTAGAATACTTTACAACTCTAAAAGGTTAGATAATAATTCCTGAAAAACTGATAGCAATACAAATTGGGCTGTAAAAGAGGGAGTAAGCCCCCTTGTGGGGTCATTAAGGATCACTCTGACAAAGTCCCAGAAATTATACTTGGAAAGGCATGTGAAATTAAAGAATTCATCACAAATCATAGAGAGGGGAGCATGGTATGCTCAGAGGATCATATAAAGTCACCCAAAGCCCAAAGTTTGGTCACTGCAGGCAGGGAAAGAGCAGAGCAAGGACCCATGGTAAGTACCTTTATTGGGGTCAGGGGTAAGGTAGCTTGTGGCACTTGGGAAACCTGCTCTTTGGGTAATTTGAATGTAACTGGGTCAACGTGGAGAAGAAGGAAGGGGCAAAATGGGAATGTCATCATGAGGCTTACTGCTTAAACACACACATTAGGGATGGGTACCCAGAAATGGGCAATAACTAGGTAAAAGTCAAAACAAGCAGGCTGAGTGCAGGCACTCAGGGAGTCATTGAGGCCACAAAGAACAGCTTGACAATGCACAAATGAATTTTATCCAAGGAGAAATGCAAATGATTTCTGTGCAGTAGTAAAGGTAAACCCATAGTTACAATTTTATTGTCTGGATGATAGTAACCATTTTAGAAATCTAACCTAGCAATCTTACCCTAGCATTCTTTCAGTAGCTATTTTATTTTATTTTATTTTATTTTAAAGATTTTATTTATTTATTTGACAGAGAGAGAGACTGTGAGAGCACAAGCAGGGGGAGCTTCAGGCAGAGGGAGAGGGAGAAGCAGGCTTCCTGCTTAGCAGGGAGCCTGATGCGGGGCTCAATCCCAGGACCCTGGGACCATGACCTGAGCAGAAGGCAGACGCTTAACCATCTGAGCCACCCAGGTACCCAACAAATAACCTCTTGATGAAATGTCAGTGTGTGAACTCCTGATATGTAAAACAGGACATTTTAAAACTACCAAAAGGAAAAAAAAACACTTAAAAAAATGTTAGTACTTTTTATTTCAATATAAACCATA